CACAGCAATCTTGAAAAAGAAGGACAAAGTAGAAGGGATCATAATACCAGATATCAGGTTATACTACAAAGTGACTGTAACCAAAACAGCCTGGTACTGGCACAAGAACAGGCATATAGACCAGTGGAACAAAATAGAGAATCCAGAAATGGACGCAAGACATTATGCTCAATTAATATTTGACAAAGGAGGCATGAACGTACAGTGAAGTTATGACAGCCTCTTTAATAAATGGTGTTGGGAAAATTGGACAGCTACATGCAAAAAAATGAAACTAGACCATCAACTTATACCATACACAAAAATAAACTCAAAATGGATAAAAGACTTCAATGTGACCTGTGAATCCATGAAAATCCTAAAAGAAACTGTAGGCAACAAAATTTCAGACATCTTACACAGCAGAATTTTCACTGATATATCACCTAAGGCAACAGAAACAAAGGAAAAAAAATGAACACATGGGACTACATCAAACTAAAAAGTTTCTGTACAGCAAAAGAAACAGCCATCAAAATGGAAAGGCAACCCACTGTATGGGAGAGTATAATTGCCAATGATACATCAGATAAGGGGTTAATTTCCAAAATATATAGAGTACTCATAAACTCAACAAAAGGAAGACAAAAGAAGACATATAAGCCAGTTAAAAAATGGGCAGAGGAGCTGAATAGACACCTCCCCAAACAGGACATATGAAGAAATGCTCAACATCACTAATCATCAGAGAGATGCAAATTAAAACAACAATGAGGTATCACCTCATACCTATCAGAATGGCCACCTTCAACAAATCATCAAACAAATGTTGGCGAGGGTGTGGAGAAAAAGGGACTCTAGTACACTGCTGATGGGAATGCAGACTGGTGCAGCCACTATGGAAAACAATACGGTGTTACCTCAAAAAATTAAAAATTGAATTGCCATTTGACCCAGTGATCCCACTTCTAGGAATATACCCTAAGAAGCCTGAAACACTAATCAGAAAGAATATATGTACCCCCATGTTTGTAGCAGCACTATTTACAATGGCTAAGATCTGGAAACAGCCCTAGTGTCCATCAGTAGACAAATGGATAACAAAGCTGTACATATACACAATGGAGTACTATGCAGCTGTAAGAAAGAAAGATCTCTTATCCTTTGAGACGGCATGGAGGGACCTGAAAAGTATTATCCTATGCGAAACAAGCCAAGCAGAAGGAGACAAATACCACATGATCTCACTTATTTGTGGAATACAATGAACATAACAGTCTGAGGAATAGGGTAGACCCAGAGACGTGGAAGTAGGGTACAGACTGATAACCCTCAGAAGAGGGGGTTGTGGGGGGAGGGAAGAGATAAACCACAGAACTTGAACAACAAAGCCAGGGATGGGGTTGGGGGGGATGGGGAGGATGTTGTCAATAGGGCAAAAAAGGAGAAACATCTGTAACAAAAATTAAAAAAAAAAGAATAAAAATGCAACAAATAACCTATCAATAATAACCTTAAATATAAATGGCTTAAATGCTCCAATCAAAAGATATAAGGTAGTCCGGTCAGTGTGGCTCAGTGGTTGAGCATCGACTCATGCATCAAGAGGTTGCTGGTTCAATTCCTGGTCAGGACACATGCCCAGGTTGTGGGCCTGATCCCCAGTGGGGGGCATGTAGGAGGCAGCCGATCCATGTTCTGTTTCATTAATGTTTCTCTCTCTCTCTCCCTCTCACTTTCTCTCTCACTAAAATTAATAAAGGAAAAAAAAAAAAAAAGAAAAGGAGGGAAACATCTCAAAAAAAGGCATAGGGTAGCTGAATGGATCAGAAAACATGACCCATATATATGCTCTCTACAAGAGACCTACCTCAGAACAAAAGACTCACACAGGATGAAAGTGAGGGAATGGGAAAAAAATCTCCATGCAAATGGAAACAAAAGGAAAGCACAGGTAGCAATACTCATATCTGATAAAATAGACTTCACAATGAAGGCCATAATAAGAGACAATGAAGGTCACTGCATAATAGTACAGGGATTGATCTAACAAAAGGTCTCTTAAAGGCTAGGCCCAGAACTGGCAGTGTTAGTTCAAGCACTTTCTATTGGTCAAAGCAAGTCACATTGTCAACCTGGATTTAAGGGGAGGGGAATAGATTCTACCTCTGGATGGGTGGTGTGACTTGCACACACAGTGAAGGGAAAAGTTGATGGTTCTCATCTTTGGAGACTGCCATATAGAGTAAACATACCATTTTGGCCGCCTGTGGAGAGTAGAGGAATTGGTGTGGGGAAACAGGGTGGAGGAGGAAAAGTAATAACAAAGAAAGGTCTTGCTCACACCTCAGAGGAATTCTGGGTTTCATGAACTCAGAAATGGATGAACTTCTTTCTTTGCATGAGGTACACAACCCCTACCCTCTAAACCAAAATCAACCAAATTAAACAGGATTTTATAACCCAAATCAGAAAAATCCCAACAAAAAAGTAATGAGACAATATGGAAACGAGAAATAGTCTAAGTGTATGTCAAATGTTAGTAAATAAAAATGTTGACTTTCAAATAGGAAGAGGATGTAGAGGATGTCTCTTGTTTTTTGTCCTATTTCACCAGTGCCAGGAGTGGGGGTGGGGGGTTGTACCTTGAAACTTGGAATTAGTTCAGTTGAGGTGGGTGGCCAGTGAGACTCCCTCTATTTCTGGATGGCAGTTGGTGAACCTTGACATGCAACTGATAATCTATTTGCTAAGCTCTTTCCTATATCTCAGAACTAAAACTATGTCCCTGTCAAGACTGGGGCTTCATGACAGTGTTTTCAAACTTTGATTTGTGATTGATTAATGGATCAGGAAACTCAACTTAGTTGGTCATGAAATAGAATGCAAGTAGCCCTGGCCAGTGTGGCTCAGTTGGTTGAAGGTCGTCCCATGCCCCCAAATGTAGTCGGTTTGATTCCCAGTCAGGGCATATGCCCAGGTTGCAGGTTCAATCCCTGGTTGGGGTGCATGCAGGAGGCAGCCGATTGATGTATCTCTCTCATATCAATGTTTCTATCTTTCTCTCCCTAAAAAATCAGTAAAACCATAAAAAAACATTAAAAAAAGAAAGATCCTAAGACATTTAAAAACAGGAATAGAATGCAAGTAGTAAGATAGGCATTGTTTTATGAAACTTTTATGTCAATAGTGTATCTACAAATTCATTCATTCATTCATTCACTCATTCATTCAATCACTTGTTTATTCAATAAATACCTGTTGAACACCTACTCTGTGCCAGGCACTGAAGATTCAGAAGGCGGTGAAACCTACAAATATGTGTGTGTGTTCTGGATCACATTGTAGAATGTATCTCTCTCTGCGAGTTATAGTCAAACAGCAGAGCAGCCACCACCACCTCAGTGGCTTCATAGAAATGTCAAACATATCTGGCTACTTCCTGTGTGTGTGTCTGAAAGTTACCATAAAAAAAGCACAGGCTGTACACCTGAAACTGATATAATGTTATATGTCAATTATATTCCATTAGAAAGAAACCAGAATGAAAGCACAGGCCTCTGTTTCAACTCCATTTCAGCACAAGGGCAACACTTTATAGCAGCCCATGTATGGCGAGGGTCTGAAAGTCAGGGGCAAAAACTGTTTTCTTCCCCAAACTATTGATAGTGTGAGCATAGCAGTTACTCATGTTCCTCAGTTCATGGAACCCCATCTTCCCATAGGACAGTGAAGACCCCTCCAATATGGTATGACTTCCCTCCTCTGTATCCTGCTTTGCTTCTCATTGCCTTCCTCTCTGTTCCCTCTATCCAAGGCAAGTCACCTAATCTCCCAGAGGCTCCATTTTCTCCCCTGTAAAATGGGAGCAAGTAACCATCCCTTGGGTTGTTGTGTTGTGAGAGTTGCATGAGAAACTGGCTGGGAGTGAGGACAAAGGTTTGTGTTGCCAGGGCCATGCAAGGGGCTTACTGAGGTTGAACACCTGCCCAAGGAGGGCTGCCTTCTGCCACAGTCCTCTCTCCTCCACCTGCACTTTTGGTTCTCCAGGGGCTTAACTCCCAGGAGGGTAAAGCTTGTCAGCCCAGAGCTGGGGAGCCTGGGGCTGAGCCCACAGGAATCTGAGCCCAGGCTCAGATGCCAGATTGGGCAAGAGCAGAGAACTGGCTCCTCTGATCCTGGTCAGGACTATTTAGAGATACCATCAATTCTGGGAAATTCAGAGGCAGGAAGTGAAAGGGGGAGGGAAGAGGGGAAACCCTGAACAGCACCTCCATCCTCCTGGCTTCCCTTCCAAACTGTGCAATGAGGAGTGAGGTGACTGGCTTATGGGGGAGAAAGAGACAGACCAGGAGGCCCTTTCTCTAGGAAGAACAGAAACAGTTCTGTCCCCAGCCCCCGCTATACTTTGTCTGAGTTCCAGCTCCATTTCCACTTCTGTTTACTGTCCAAAGTCCTGGGGTCAGGAGATGCCAGGTTAGAACCACTTGGACATTCAGACACATGGGCTCAGGGCCCTCACCTGGACCAGCCCCCTCCCCTCCTCTTCTCTCCTGTCTAGCACCACCTGCCCTCCTTCTGACTCCAGCTTCTCCTTAGCCTTGGGGCCTCGGCTGCCTGAGGGATCCAGGAGTAAGCCCTCCACACCTTTACCAGGTAACCAAGGTTGGGGAAGCTGGTGGGACTGGGGATGTTTGGTGTTAAGGAGACCGTAGTTCAGGGACAGTGGGGGCCCAATAGGAAGGTGAGAATGTGGAGGGAAGGCTCCTCTCTGGCCATGTCACAGCCGAAGCAATCACCTGAAAAGGGACAGGACCTGGCTATATTTCAGCCCTAAACTCACCTCTAACCTCAGACCCAACCCAAGCTGTCTTCTCGACATACTCTCACCCTACCTCCAATCCCAGCCTCACTTTCCACCTTAATTAGCATCTTAGCACAAGCATCAGCCCTGAACTCAGTCCCAGCCTTAAGAGCAGCCTTGACTCAACCCCAGGTGCAGCTTTTGCCCTGGACCCAGCATGGAGAAGGACTTTCAAGACATCCAGCAGCTGGACTCTGAGGAAAATGACCACCAGTTCAGTTGGGTTGAGTGTCCAGACACTCAAGGGCATAGTCCCAGGAGAGAAGATGCATTTTGGAAAGGCAAGTATCCAGTTTCTGAAGCTTCACTTCATCTCTGTCTTGCTCCTGATCGCTCTGTCTCTGAGATTTCTGTCACATTCACTCCGTGAGCAGGGACCAGGCCCCTCTAGGTGTGCAATTGTGTGGTGTCAACATCTCTGGTTACCCCCCGACCTCACCTTCCTCTCTACCCTCAGGACCCCCGGAAATGAGTGTGTGCCCAGAGGTGAGGGAGTAAGTGGAGATGGTTTCCTCTCCTCTTCCTTCTGACAACACATGCTGTGTGTGTCTGTGTGCATCTCATGTGTGTAAGAAAAGCACATTCAGCCAGGAGAGTGTATATGTATGTGCGTGGGGGTGTGGGGATGGGTGGGTGGGACAACAGACACAGAGATACAGAGATATTTTGGAAAATCCCCACTCCCCAAGCTCCCCGCCTGGATTTTTTTCTAGCAGATCCTTTTTGTGTTTTGTTTTTCTCTAGCAGCTCTTGATGGAAGGCCCGTGTCTAGGAAAAGGTTTTAGGGCAAGAGAGACCTGAGTCATTGTAGGCTGAAAGGCAGGTGCCAGGGCTGTGGGTGCTGGTGATGGAGTGAGGCTCTGTGGAGACCAGAGGGACTGGGGTTTGGAGCTCAGGGAGAGGAACTAGTTAGCCTGGGCTGAGAGGAGTAACCCCTCATTTTTGAGGCTGGCCAATTGCAGAAGCTGGTGCTGTTGCAGATGCGAACCGGGCAGGGCAGGAGCAGCAGGAGGGACAGGTGTTCCTACCAAAGGCTTCTCCTTTCCTGGGGTAGTGGGCTGGCAGTTCTTTCCAACAGGATGTAGGCTGCATGGGGCTGAGACCACATCTGTCTCACTTCCTTCTGCATCCTCAATGCCCACATGATGCCTGGTATGATGTAAACACTCAAAAATTATTTCGGAGATTGTTGAATCTTCTGAAGGTGAGAGGGTTCAGAGTTTAAGCAGGAGGCTTGAAGATAGTCCAGAGGTTTTGGGTTTCATGGGAGAAGGAGCTCATCCAAAAGGACTGATGGAGACACTGTAGGGCCCCCCTGAGGTGGTGCAACCATCAGTGTACTTCTCTCCAGAAGCCTCTGCTGCCTGTATGTGAGCTGACATCTGCCACCTGCCCACCTATGACCGCTTTCCACTCTTCCAAGCATCTTATATGCCTCTAGTTTTCAGCAGACTTGAAAATATTTTGGCGATTATCTGCCTCACCCTTCTCCCCTTTCCTTCAAGGACTCCAATTCTGCATCTATTAGTGGTCCTATAGTTCACTGATGCTATTTTCTTCTTTAAAAAAATTCTTTTTTCTCTTGTTTTTTTGTTTCTATATAGTTATTATTTGCTATGTTTTTAAGTTCACTAATCTTTTCTTATGCATGTCTATTCTTCCATTAATTCCATCCAGTGTATTTTTTATTTCAGACATTTTAGTTTTTATGTCTAGAAGTTTAACTTGGGCCTTTTAAATATCCTCCTTGATATTCTACTTAATTTTTTGAACATATGAAGTACAGTTACAATTTCTGTTTTAATGTCTTGTCTGCTAATTCTAATATCTGTGTCAGTTCTGAGTCAGTTTTGATAGATTTGTTAACTGCTACAAAATGTGTCTTCCTGCTTCTTTGTATGTCTGGTAATCTTTAATTGGATGCTAGATATTGTGAACTTTACCTTGTTGTGTGCTGGATATATTTGTATTCCTCTAAATATTCTTGAGCTTTATTCTGGGATGTGGTTAAGTTACTTGGATCACTTTATTCCTTTTGGGTGTTGCGTTTATGACTTGCTAGGTGGGTCTGGAGCATGGATGGGGCAAGGGCATCTTGGGTCCTCTACCCAATGCCTTGTAGGTTATGTTTTCCAGTCTGGCTGGTGAGAATAGGCACTGTTCCTGGGCCTGCATGATTGGCAGGCACTGTTCCCCAATTTTTTCAGATTGTTTTATTTTGGTTTTGAGTAGTTTTCTTTACATGCATGCACTAATCAGTACTCAGCCAATTGCTTGAAGGGAACCCTCCACAGAGCTCTGGGCTTCTCTCTGCAGCTGTCTCCTCTGATGCTTTTTCCTGTGAAGTCTAATGGTCTCCTTAGATTCTTGGCCCTATCTCCTCAACTGGGTGTCTGCTGGGCTCTGCTTGGATTGCTCCTCCCTGCTCAATGGCCTGAAAACTTTCTTCCAGCACTAGGGTGGGACAACCATAGGACTCATCTGGTTTGTGTCCCGTCTCTCAGGGATCATTGCCCTATGTTGCCTGAAGTCCAGTGTCTTGAAAATGGTTGTTTCTCACAGTTATCTGTTTCTTGTTTTGGTTGTCTCTGGGAGGAGGGCAAATCTAGTCCTTATTATTCCATGTTAGGCAGACCCTTTGTTTTATTTTCCAACTTGCCTAGGCAGCACTTTTTATGTTTTAACTCATTCAATTCTCAGAACAACCCAATCAGGTAGCTATTATTTTTACCCACATTACTTTTCTATTGTGGTAAGAATACATAATATGGGATCTATCCTTTAACAAAATTTAAAATGCACCACACAACTTTGTTAACTGTAGGCACACTATTGTACAGAAGATCTCTAGAACTTCTACATCTTGTATAATTATAACTTTACACCCATTGAACAGCAACTTCCAATTTCCCACTCTCAGACCCTGACTACCACCATTCTACTCTGTTTCTATGAGTTTGACTATTTTAGATTGTATAAGTGAACACAAGAAAATGGAGGCACCAAGAGGTTGAATGACTTGTCTATGATCTCAGAGCTGGTTGATAACATAGATGGACTCAGCCATGGGTGGTCTGGTTTCTGGACAGAAGTGCAGAGACAGATTGTTGAGCTGATTCAGAGTCGAGGGTTTATAGGTCATAGGTCAGGCTGGGAAGCAGGACAAGGGCCCACTAAGTGGAAAGTATTGGAGAGAGCATTCGGAAGCTCAACCATGGAGTCCCAGGTGGTTGGGAAAGACTGTGGTTAGGGAGAGCTTCTAGATGGACAGAAACACAGGGGATCACGGAAGACAGTGGGGAGGAGGAGCAAAAGAAAAATGGTGCTTAGAATGGGGAATGGGCAGTGGAGGTGTCAGAGACATGGCCCTTCTGGGTCAAGATGGAGTCCTGAGTGTGGCTGAAGTGGAGGAAGGTGACAGTCATTGGTGTGAGGAGGTCAAGAGTTCTGGGTGGTCACTCACAGGGACAATGTCTAACTCAGGATAGTGGCAATTGATGAACTGGAGAGGAAGATTCTGGATGCCTGACTGAGTGTCCCCAGGATGTGAGGGTTCCAGGGTGAAACAGTAATGAGAAGAGAGGGAAGGTCACAGTCTCAGGCAAAGAAGAGGAAGCATTTTGTTAGGAGTGAATGATGCAAAAGCAGCAGCTTGGAGCTGGGAGGACAGCCCCTGCTTCAGGCCTGGAGAGATGTCAGGAGGAGTGAGGCCAGTTCTGTGCACGTGAAGACGTGGGTGCATGTGTGTGTATGTGAAAACATGTGAGTCAGTGTGTATATGTGTGTGAGAAGGTATGTGAATGTGTGCTATAGTATGTGAGAGCATGTATAAGAATGTGCATGTTAAAGTGTATGAGTGTGAGAATGTGTTAATGAAAATGTTTTTTGTTCTGGACTTCAATGCCCTGCTGCTGGTGGCCATCGGTGTAATTGGGTCCCAAAGTGAAGATCACTAGGGCCTGCAGGAATGGGGTCATGATGGAAGGAGATATGGGCATTGTTGGGGGCAATGGGTGTGTATGAAGTAATGACTGTGAGAGTGAAATAAAAAATGTGTGTTTTCAGGATTCAGCTGGACTAAGGGGAGGGAGAGGTTTCTGTGAGATGACTGAGGGCTAAGGGGAGAGAGTTTATAGTGGAACAAGGGTTCTGCGGTGGTAAGGGCAGAGAGACATGGGAGAGGAGGCTCTGAGGGGTGAGAAATGAGAGGATAGGGTTTGAAGAGCGAGCAGCCCTTGGGGAGTGATATGTGGTGGAATCTGGTGGAATGACCTGGACTTAAACAGCCCAGTGGAATTGGGGGGTGGAGGTGGTTCCAGTTTTGGAATGGTCTGAGTGGCCCAGGCATAGATTTTAAGAACCCAGGGCCTGTCCTCTGGGTCTCCCTGGTACAAGTTGGGGCTTTACACACAGATGATGGGAATATCAGTGCCATGTGTAGGTGTGTGGCATGCAGTTGTGTAGGTGTGTGTGCACACTGACATGTGTTCATATGGGTGTAATTGAGTGTGTGCAATGCTTAAACGCTGGTGTCAAAGCCTTCTGACTCCCCCAACACCTCCCCACTACTTTCCTCCCACCCACCTGGGCTGTACTTCCTCAGACTTCTGTTCTCCTGGATGCTTCCATTAGGTTGGTTCTCGATACCCCTCCTCCTGACACCCTTTCTCTCGCAGGAATGCCTCCTCCCCAGCCCCTTCTGCTGCAGAGTCTCTGCTCCAGTCTCTGGCTCAGACTGCTGGTCCTGGGCTTCAATATCCTGCTGCTGGTGGCCATCTGTGTGATTGGGTCCCAGAGTGAGGATCACAGAGGCCAGTGGGGATTGGGGGAGGAGATATGGACAGTGCTGGGGCAATGAGAGCTATGGTGGGAAGAGTTGGAGGCAGTAAGGGGCAGTGCTGGGGCAGTGAGGGGCAGTGCTGGGGCAGTGAGGGGCAGTGAGGGGCAGTGCTGGGGCAGTGAGGGGCAGTGAGGGGGCAGTGGGGGGCAGTGAGGGGCAGTGAGGGGGCAGTGGGGGACAGTGGGGGGGGCAGTGGGGGGCAGTGGGGGGGCCGTGAGGGGCCATGAGGGGGCAGTGAGGGTTCAGTGAGGGGGCAGTGGGGGGCAGTGAGGGGCAGTGGGGGGCAGTGGGGGACAGTGGGGGGGGCAGTGAGGGGGCAGTGAGGGGCAGTGAGGGGGCAGTGGGGGGCCGTGGGGGGGCAGTGAGGGGGCAGTGAGGTGCAGTGAGGGGGCAGTGAGGGGGCAGTGGGGGGCAGTGGGGGGGCCGTGAGGGGCCATGAGGGGGCAGTGAGGGTTCAGTGAGGGGGCAGTGGGGGGCAGTGAGGGGGCAGTGGGGGACAGTGGGGGGGCAGTGAGGGGGCAGTGGGGGGCAGTGGGGGGGCCGTGAGGGGCCGTGGGGGGGCAGTGAGGGGGCAGTGAGGTGCAGTGAGGGGGCAGTGAGGTGCAGTGAGGGGCAGTGAGGGGGCAGTGAGGGGCAGTGAGGGGGCAGTGAGGGACAGTGAGGGGGCAGCGGGGGGGCAGTGAGGGGGCAGTGGGGGACAGTGAGGGGGCAGTGAGGGGGCAGTGGGGGACAGTGGGGGGGCCGTGAGGGGCCGTGAGGGGGCCGTGAGGGGGCCGTGAGGGGGCAGTGGGGGGTAGTGAGGGGCAGTGAGGGGGCAGTGAGGGACAGTGAGGGGGCAGTGGGGGGCAGTGGGGGGGCAGTGAGGGGCCGTGAGGGGGCCGTGAGGGGGCAGTGGGGGGCAGTGGGGGGCAGTGAGGGTTCAGTGAGGGGGCAGTGGGGGGCAGTGAGGGGCAGTGAGGGGGCAGTGGGGGGCAGTGAGGGGGCAGTGGGGGGGCAGTGAGGGGCCGTGAGGGGGCAGTGAGGGGGCAGTGGGGGGCCGTGAGGGGGCAGTGAGGGGGCAGTGGGGGGGCAGTGAGGGGCAGTGGGGGGCAGTGGGGGGCAGTGAGGGGCCATGAGGGGGCAGTGAGTGGGCAGTGAGGTGCAGTGAGGGGGCAGTGAAGGGGCAGTGGGGGGCAGTGAGGGTTCAGTGAGGGGGCAGTGGGGGGCAGTGAGGGGCAGTGAGGGGGCAGTGGGGGGTAGTGAGGGGCAGTGAGGGGGCAGTGGGGGGCAGTGAGGGGGCAGTGGGGGGGGCAGTGGGGGGCAGTGAGGGGCAGTGAGGGGGCAGTGAGGGACAGTGAGGGGGCAGTGGGGGGCAGTGGGGGGCAGTGAGGGGGCAGTGAGGGGCAGTGAGGGGCCATGAGGGGGCAGTGAGGGGGCAGTGAGGTGCAGTGAGGGGGCAGTGAGGGGGCAGTGAGGTGCAGTGAGGGGGCAGTGGGGGGCAATGAGGGTTCAGTGGGGGGCAGTGAGGGGGCAGTGAGGGGCAGTGGGGGGCCGTGAGGGGCAGTGAGGGACAGTGAGGGGGCAGCGGGGGGGCAGCGGGGGGGCAGTGAGGGGGCAGTGGGGGGCAGTGAGGGGGCAGTGAGGGGCCGTGAGGGGGCAGTGAGGTGGCAGTGAGGTGCAGTGAGGGGACAGTGGGGGGCCGTGAGGGGGCAGTGAGGGGGCAGTGGGGGGCAGTGAGGGGCAGTGGGGGGCAGTGGGGGGGCAGTGAGGGGCCATGAGGGGGCAGTGAGGGGGCAGTGAGGGGCCGTGAGGGGGCAGTGAAGGGGCAGTGAAGGGGCAGTGAGGTGCAGTGAGGGGGCAGTGAGGGGGCAGTGAGGTGAAGTGAGGGGGCAGTGGGGGGCAGTGAGGGTTCAGTGAGGGGTCAGTGGGGGTCAGTGAGGGGGCAGTGAGGGGCAGTGGGGGGCAGCGAGGGGGCAGCGAGGGGGCAGTGGGGGGCAGTGAGGGGGCAGTGAGGGGGCAGTGAGGGGCAGTGAGGGGGCAGTGAGGGTCAGTGAGGGTCAGTGGGGGTCAGTGAGGGGGCAGTGAGGGGGCAGTGAGGGGGCTGTCACATGGGCACAGCCCCTCCACTTTGTCCTGTGCTTTCTCTCTCCTGACAAGGATTACAGATGCAAGTTGAGTTTTGGACCCTAAAAGCAGCTTTCAGCAATTTCTCCTCCAGCACCCTGACAGAGATCCACAATTTCAGCATCCATCGTGAGTGGGTGCTCCCTGGAGGGGAGGGCTGCTGGTTTGGTAGTTAAAGTACTTCTTTACCAGCAGAGGTTTGCTGGACTCTGAGGTGGGTGCTCAGTGCTGGGTCTGCAAAGTGGCGTGTTTGGGATGCTGTGGGTAGATAACCCAGCTGATCCTTGGGCTGCGGGACCCTGAAGGATGAATAGGCAGGTGAAAAGATGGGGGTTAGTGCCAGGTTGAGGGAACGAGTCTGCCACGGCCAGGAGGTGAGGAACACCACTGCGCATTTTGGGACTGGGAACACTCCCAGTGTGGCAGGAGGCTAAGTGTGAGGGGTGGGCCAGGGAGGTGGGTAGGGGCTAGGTCACAGAAGCAAGCTGTACTAATAAAGTGAGGCTTTATTTTGAGAAATGGGCATCTATGGAAGGGATTTAAGCAGGGGAGCAGCCTGAGCAGATTTCTTCTTCAGAAAGCCAGTGTGGCATTGCAGGGAGCCTGGGCAGAGTTGGGGAGGCCAGGGGACACAGCCTGGAACCTCCCAGGTGGAGGAGACAGTGGCTCAGATTGGTGCTGCAGTGGGATAGAGGGATGTTAAGGAGGCAGAACGGAGGGAAACAGTTTAGCTTTCCTCTTTTTCAGGAGGCAACACAGGTGACAAAGTGACATCTCTGGAAGCCAAGCTGGTTGAACAGCAGCAGGACCTGAAAGCAGGTCCGAGACCCTCCCTTGGGTGTGTGGTGTGTGAGTGTGTGTGTGCTTGTGTGTGTGAGTGTGTATATGGTGGGTGGTGTGAGTGATGGGTGTGTTGTGTGTGTGGATGTGAGTGTGTGGTGTGTGAGTGTGTGTGTTGAGTTTTCCCAGTCAATGGCTAAAGTCCTGTGTGGGGTTCTGGTAGATGGGGCACCCCCATAGCCAACATCAGTCTATCCCTCTTTCCCCCTAGAACATGCTACCTTGCTCTTCCACCTGAAGCACTTTCCAGCTGATCTGCGCATCCTGACTTGTCAGATGGCCTTCCTGAGAAGCAATGGTAGGGCCAGGGGGAGTCTTCAGTCCCAGTGTGCCCACCTCTCCAGCTGGATCTCATCTTCCCCTACCCACTCCCATCCCCAGGCACAGAATGCTGCCCCGTTAACTGGCTGGAGCACAAAGGCAGATGCTACTGGTTTTCTCAAACTGGAATGACCTGGCCTGAGGCTGAGAAGTACTGCCAGCTGGAGAATTCACACCTGGTCGTCATCAACTCCAGAGAGGAGCAGGTGAGGCAGGAGGAAACCTCTGCCATGCAAACTCTGGGAGGCTGGATCAGGCTTGCTTTGTTGTTTTTGTAATTTAGGGGAGAGTCCAGAAGCACAAGTCTGGCAGAACTCTGGGAGGTTCATAGTGGAGCAGCCAGTGATTCTAAGAGGTGGGAGATGACAGCCAGGAGCCTGGGCAAAGAGGCAGGAGCTAGATGAGCAGGTGATGAGGGGCAGGTCTGGTGACAGAACACAAGACGGGACAAAGTAAAGAAAGCCAGGGTTTGGGTGGAGAACACAGCGGAGGCACGGGGAGCCCCTTCTTGCTGTGTGCTGGCCTTGGGATGTGGTGGTCAGTTGGATGAAAGGAGCAGGGTGGGCAGGATCCCCAGGGACATGCCTGCCATGGGTCACTGAGTTTCTCCAAGGCGCTCCAGGTGTCCTCTGCTCACTGCCGCCACCAGACCGCAACCCAGACACCAATGTTCACAGTGTAGAACCAACCTGTTAGAATAAATGGAGCTTTTTCAATTTTTTTTGAAAAGGAGGCCATAAATGATAACATTTACTGAGTCCTTATTATGTGACAGGCACTTTCACATATATTCATTTCTTTAATCCTCCAAACCCTATGAGGATTATGCCCACTTTGAAGGAGGGAGAGAGGGAGCTAAGGGGCAGGGAAGCTATGGGAGTTGCTATGCAGCCAGTAAGTCAGGATGGAGCCAGAATTCAGAGCCACTCTGCCTCCTTCGCCAGTGTTTTCAACTACTAAGTGTTACCATGATATACTTTTAGCATTTAAACATATACTCCATTTACAGGGTGGAATAATTACAGAGTTTGCTTTATCAGTGAGGTTGAAATGGCCAATTATGATCTACTTTGACCTATAAAAATGTCACTTTCATGTGGGCCAACCTAAGATTTCAGTGCTCGTGAGTTGGCCCATAAGTTCTTGATGACACAACTTCATGGTGGATTGGACTCACTTTTCATCATTATGAAGTGAATGTCAGTGTCTGGTTTAATGCTTTGGCCTTGAATTCCTCTTTATGTGATAGGAATAGAATGGGCATTGATTTCTTTTCATGTGCATTTACTGAATGTATCTCTGTCCATGTTTCATTTCCAACCTTTGAGCCTCTGTTTTGGATGAATGCTTCTCAGTTTTGGCTTTCTTATTATAAGACTTTAAACTTGAGTTTAAATATTTGATTTAATTAACTATGGATTCATCTGGGGCATTGAGATTTAAAAGAAAATTTTTTTCTTTATTGATTTTAGAGAGAGAGGAAGGGAGAGGGAGAGAGAGATAGAACATTAATGAGAGAGAGAATCGATTGGCCGCCTTCTGCATGCCCCCCACTGGGGTTTGGGTCCACAACCTGGACATATGCCCTGACCAGGAATTGAACCAGCGACCTCCTGGTACAGAAGTCGACACTCAACCGCTGAGCCACACAGGCTAGGCGGTTGTAGATAAGTTTTGTTTTTGATTTTAAAATATTGAATGAGTCTTTTAATAGGTGTGTATCTCATTTATTTATTTTTGTTGTTGATTCTCAATGCTTTATTTCACCACAGACATCACAATTATACCACTTTGTCTCTGACATAAATCAATATAAATAAATTACTCTTTGAACCCACCCAGTAATGTATGATTGTAATGGAATGTAAAATAATTTGACAAGTCAGAGAAGCTATAGTAGCATAAAAGCTTGAAGAATTAATTACCAAAATTATAAATTTATAAAAGACACAGTTTATCACTATTCACTTAAAGTGATTAACTTAGCATATGAATAAAATATAATTTCCTGTAGAGCCTCAGTATTTACAGGCCTATAATAATACATTTGTTTTAAAATATTCTCAATATATTCTGATCCAGTCTTCTCTTGCTTCCTAGGTTGGTGGTGGCATTTGTTAACATGCTCTTTTATATTTATATTTAGTGGGTTAAATGTCATAGACACAGATGTGTGTTTTCACTTTCTCTAAATGAAATTCAGCAGCAGCAGTTATTTCCAAATGGTATTGCCCAAATGCCAGAATTTCATGAAAGAGGACAGGTAAAGGGTAGTCTCAGAGACGTGGAAGTGGGGTACAGACTGACAATCCCCAGAAGAGGGGGTGGTGGGGGAGAGATGAACCACAGAACTTATATGTATGTATGCGTGAACAATGGACACGGACAACAAAGCTGGGGACAGGGCAGGGAGGGAGGGGGAGGGGGGAATCAGTAGGGGAAAAAGGAGAAACATCTGTAACAAAAATAAATAAATTACTTAATAAAAAAAAAGAAAAACAGGGATTGATAAGGGAGCATGTCATATATATCTTGTGTTTTTTGACAAATGTAGGAGTCTCTTTGGATCTTTGCCTGTGGAAAAATTTAATTAATTTTTCAAACAGAACTTTTAATCTTTCCATTTTTCTTTTTCACTCTCTTTAGCCTTTGTTTCCTGCATTCATTTCCTCTTTTTTGCTTTTACTGATGTATGTCTTCAAGCCTCTCACCCACTCCTTTAAAAAGTGTTTGCCTCTTTATAAGACATTGCTTTGACACCTATCTCAGTTTCCTCTTTAAAAAGAAAAATTAACTTTTGTTACAGATGTTTCTCCTTTCCTCCTCCAGACACCCTCTTCCCTCCCCCTCCCTCCCCTAAGCATTGTTGTCTATGTCCACTGGTTATGCATATATGCATGTAAGTTCTTTGGTTTATCTCATCCCTCTTTGCCTCCCCCCTCCTCTGAAGTTTGTCAGTTTAAACCGTACTCCTTTCTATGTCTCTGGGTCTATTTTGTTCATTATATTCCACAAATAAGTGAGATCATGTGGTATTTGTCTTTCTCTGATTGGCTTATTTCGCTTAGCATAATACTCTCCAGGTCCCTCCATGTCATCTCAAAGGATAAGAGATCTTTCTTTCTTATAGCTGCATAGTACTCCATTGTGTATATGTACCACAGCTTTTTTATCCATTTGTCTACTGATGGACACTTGGGCTGTTTCCAGATCTTAGCTATTGTAAATAGTGCTGCTATGAACATGGGGGTACATATATTCTTTCTGATTGGTGTTTCAGGCTTCTTAAGATATATTCCTAGAAATAGGATCACTGGGCCAAATGGCAGTTCAATTCTTAATTTTTTGAGGAAACACCATATTGATTTCCATAGTGGCTGCACCAGTGTGCATTCCCACTAGCAGTGTATTAGAGTCCCCTTTTCTCTCCACCCTCGCCAGCACTTGTTGTTTGATGATTTGTTGATGGCAGCCATCCTGACAGGTGTGAGGTGATACCTCATTGTTGTTTTAATTTGCATCTGTCTGATGATTAGTGATGTTGAGCATTTCTTCATATGTCTCTTGGCCATTTGTATGTCCTATTTGGAGAGGTATCTATTTAGTTCTCTGCCCACTTTTTAATTGGATTCTTTGTCTTCCTTTTGTTGAGTTGTATGGAGTATATATTTTGGAAACTAGCCTTATCTGACGTATCATTGGCAATGATGCTGTCCCATACAGTGGGTTCCCTTTCCATTTTGATGGTTGTTTCTTTTGCTGTGCAGAAGCTTTTTAGTTTGATGTAGCCCCATGTGTTCATTTTTTCCTTTGTTTCTGTTGCCTTAGGTGATATATCAATAAAAATTTGGCTGTGTGTGATGCCTGAAATTTTGTTGCCTACATTTTCTTCTAGGATTTTTATGGATTCATGAGTCACACTGAAGTCTTTTATCCATTTTGAGTTGATTCTTGTGTATGGTGTAAGTTGGTGGTCTAGTTTCATTTTTTTGCATGTAGCTGTCCAATTTTTCCAACACCATTTATTAAAGAGGCTGTCTTTACTCCATTGTATACTCTTGCCACTTTTGTCAAATATTAATTGAGCATGATGTCTTGGGTCAACTTCTGGGTTCTCTGTTCTGTTCCATTGATCTATATGCTTGTTCTTGTGCCAGTACCATGCTGTTTTGATTATAATGGCTTTGTAGTATAACCTGATATTTGGTATTGTGATCTCACCTACTTTGTCCTTCTTTTTCAAAATTGCTGTAGCTACTTGGGGTCTTTTTTTTGGTTCCATAAAAACTTTTGGAGTGTTGCCCTGGCTGGTTTGGCTCAGTGGTTAGAGAGTTGGCCTGTGGTCCAGAGAGACCTAGGTTCAGTTCCCGCTAAGGGTGTGTACCTCGGTTGCAATTTGTCCCTGGCCCTGGTTGGTGGTGTGGGTGGCAGCCACTCGATGTGTCCCTTTCATGTCGATGTTTCTCTCTCTCTCTCTCCCTCCCACTCTATCCAAACAAAAAATGGAACAATGTCCTTGGTTGAGGATAAAAAACCCCCAAAATTTGGAGTGTTTGTTCTATTTTGGTGAAATATGACTTTGGTATTTTAATGAGGATTGCACTGAATCTATAGATTACTTTGGGTAGTATGGACATTTTAATAATGTTAATTTTTTAAAATCCATGAACAAGGTATATGCTTCCACTTTTTAATATCTTCCTCTATTTCTTTTTTCAATGTCTGGTAGTTTTCTGCAAATAGGTCCTTTACTTCTTCTTTTTTAAAATTTAATTTTATTTTCATTATTGATATTAGAGAGAGAGAGAGGAAGAAGGAGAGATAGAAACATCAATGAGAGAGAACATCAATTGACTGCCTTCCCACATGCCGCCTACTGGGGATTGGGCCCACAACCTGGGCATGCGCCTTGACCGGGAATTGAACAGGCCATCTCTTGGTGCATGGGTCAATGTTCAACCACTGAGACACACTGGCTGGGCAGTGCTTTACTTTTTTGGTTAAGTTTATTCCTAGGTATCTTAGTTTTTAGTTGCAATGGTAAATGAAATTTTTTTTTAGTTTCTCTTTCTGTGTGTTCATTATTGGTATATAAAAATGCCAATGATTTCTGGATGTTGATTTTGTATACTGTTACTTTGCCAAATTCATTTATTAAATCTAGTCGTTTTTCAATGGAGTCTTTAGGGTTTTTTATGTACAGTAT